AGAGTGTGCACATGGTGTCCGGCTATGCCGACAGATGTTCAGTTATCAGTCAGGTGATTTATATCACGAGATCAGTATCAGATTATTCAGTACTGGTATCAGATATCAGTTTTCAGTTTCAGTATCAGTTCAGCTATATATGCCAGGATCATGATATTGTTATTATATTCACTGTTTTACATTAGTATGAGTTTCCACGGAGCACAGTGCCTAGTGCTCACTCCCCAGTTGTATCTTATTTTTCAGGTCAGCAGGTCGGGCCGGGAGTGTGACATGACGGGAACAGCTCGGGACATTCAGGACATTTTTATATATGTTTTTGGACTGTATAACTATTACTTATGCTTCCGCTTACTTTTGACTATCTTTTGACGATGTTTGATGATTTTGACGGTTTTATCATATTTTGATAAACTTTTCAGAAAATAAAGTTTTAAATAACCGGACGTTTTTAATAAGTTAAAACAACGGTTTTCTAAAGTTAAGTAAAGATTTTCACGGTGGCACCCCAAATCAGTTTCGCAAAGTAAAAATGTTTTAGTTTTCACAGACTTTGCGAATAAATGCGCTACTCTTATTTACTAGTAAGGTGGGGTGTTACATGTATATACTGATATCATGATGTTGTTATTATTTTCGATGTTTTACATTAGTATGAGTTTCCACGGAGCACAGTGCCATAGTGCTCACTCCCCAGTTTTATCATGTTTTTCAGGTCAGGACGTCGGGCCGGAAGCATGAGCGTGACGTGACGGGGACTTCAAGATATTTATATTTTGGACTGTATAACTATGATGATGACTTACGCTTCCGCTTATGATACTTTGATGTTTTTGATGACTTTTGACGTACTCGTTTGACGAACTTATTACTTTGACGAACCTTTGAGAACTTATGATTTAAGTAACCGGACGATTTTATTAAAATTAAAACAACGGTTTTCTAAGTTAAGTCACGATTTTTAAAAGGTAGCACCCCGAATCAGTTTTCGCAAAGTAAAAAGGGTTTTATTTTAAAAGACTTTGCGAATTATTGCGCGCTCTGATTTTACGATAAGGAGGGGTGTTACAATTGGTTAACATCCTATCACCTTTAAATGATCATATGTTGGTGGCTTGCTGTAAAGAATTTCAAAAGGACTTTTGTTATGCAAAGTGGCAGAGGGAACTCTGTTTATGATATGAACAGCAGCTAAGACACAATCCATCCAAAAATGTAATGGTAAGTTGGCAT